TTAGTTTCGCAATGAGGCGCAGAGGTCCAGTAGCAGGTCTGCAATGTGGACGTGGCTCTCAGGAGAGAAGGGCAGGGCTGGAGGACTACGTGTGGGGATCCTCATCGCTTGACACTGAGGCCACTGGGGTTCGGGTGCTGCTGACTGAGATGTACAAAGCGGGCTGACAGAAAACCTGGCATAAGACACCTTAGATGGATGTGAAGGAGGAGAGGCTAAAAGAGGAAATGATAATTAGTAGTTAGCTATGAAGGAGAGAAGCCCCAAACGTGGGTATCACGGAGTTCCAGGAAGGAAATAGCCAAGATGGAGAGAGTTTTCAGAAGGAAAAGGTGTTACAGAGAGGCCAGGTAAGAGAGGGACGGCGAGGCTGGGCTTGCGCCAGACAAGTCCCCCAATCCTTTTAAGCATGTGATGTCTCTCCCTTACTCATTCTCTCTCTCCCTCTCCCTCCCTCCCTCTCTCTCTCTCTGTTTCTCTATGTGTCTATCTGTCTGTCTTTGTTTCTTAATTTCTTATTTCTTCCCGATTCATCTCTGTATCAGTGCCTAATTCAGCACCTATCACAAGGTAAGTGCTCTATTAATGTCTGTTGAACGACAAAGAGTTGCAGGGATAGGACTACTTTTCCCTCGGTTCTCTTCCTAAGGGATTGTAATTATTCATCTTCTTGGTTCTGGTCAGGAATTAAAACAGGATGCACTCCCCTTTTCAAAGTTCTAGTTCTGGGCTGCATGATCGGAGGATGTCCAAATAAGTGGGTAAACTCGTGGGCCCCAACCTAAAGGGACGAGGCTCTCAGCCGGGTCTCAGTTCCACAGGAGCCGGCAGCAAGACGAGGTAGGACTCAGAGCCCTACGTCTGGACTGCAACCACCAGACCTGGATGAGGTGGAATGATGGCGCCACCGTGTGGCAGGCATTGTACATGCATTATCTCCGCTCACTTCCAATATCCCGAGGTTTGTATTTTTACCCCCATTTTATAGATAGAAGCTCAGAGTAGGTACAAAAAATGGTCCAGCTAGTAAGGTACAGAGGCACGATTCAGACCCAGGTAGAAGTGACTCCCGAGCCTGTGCGTGTTCTGACACTGCAGGAATTGGTTCAGGCATTGGGGAGCCCAGGGCCCCCTTGTGTGGGGCCCCTCGGTGTCGCCCACTGTGGTGAGCTGGCTGGGTCGTAACTGCTGAGATGGGGTTGGATACGGTGATCAACCTGGGCTGGTGGCAGCTTGCTGGCAACAGACTAAGTGGCAAGTCAGCAGCATGAGAGCCAAAGGCCTGGGAACTTGGCCCACCTGATAATCCACCAAGTAGAAAAATGAGCAAAATGCATATCCATACAGGCATGCCACAGAAGAGGAAATCCAAATGCCAAAAACCGAAACCAAAACTACAGCAAAGCAAAGCAAAACAAAGACATAAAAAGACTCTTAGCGTCGCTGTAGTAAGTGGAGACATGCAGATTACAGTAAAAACTTCACATACCCACCAAAATGGCAAACATTTAAAATCTGACAGCACTAGATGTTGGCAAGAATATGGAGTTAAGTGAGTTTAATACATTGCTGGTGGGAATACATAAGATTGCCGCAGCTGTTCTGCAAAGCAATTTGGCAACACCAGGAAAATGAAAGATGTGCAGACTCTACGAGCTGGTAATTCCACTCCAGGCTGAGACCTCCCAGAGAAAAACTGGCACATGTGCGCCAGAAGCCATTTGGAAGAATATTTATAGCAGCACTGTACATTATAGCAAAAACTGGGAAACGACTCAAATGTCCATCGACAGGAGAATGCGTAAATGAATTCTTGATTCAATTGCAATTGATTTATACAGTGAAATACCACACAGCAGTGAAAACAAATGGACCTCAGCCACATGCAACAATGGGAAGGAGTTTTCCAAACATAATGCCGACTGGGGGGGAAAAGCAAGTTTCTATATACAGTATGATTCCCATTTATGTCAAGTTCCAAACCTTATAAAACTAAACACTATACACATGCAATAAATCTCTAAAGAAAACAAGGGAATAAGAAACACACAACTCGGGAGTGGCCCATCCAGCAGGGAAAAGCGGAGGTGTGAGATCAAGAATGGTGGGAACGGGGCTTTCTGGTGGTAGTTTATTGTTAATATTCGAATTTCTGGATATCTGGCATATACATATACACATACAGGTGTTCATTTTATTATTTTTAATACCTTATACATTTGCTATGTATATTCTCCTTTGAAGGATGATATATTTTATAATTAATAAATTACAGAAAGTGGTCTGAAGCCTATGAAACAAATTAGAAGGAAAGTGAGACAATGGGCAGTTGCATAGACAGGACACCAGAGATCCTGTCCTCTGGGAAACCTCAGGGCCGAGGAGCAATCAGGATCCACATGAGGCCGGGGTCAGGGTCACTTTCCATGTGGAATCCATGCTTCCGAGCTGGCTGTTTCTCCAGAGCTGCCCTTCCCTCTATGGCCTTTGGCCATGATGCCCTCTCCATCTGCCGTGCCATTCCTCTACCTTTACTTGTCTAAGGTGTGTCCTCAAGTCTTCGGTCAAGTTTTACTCTCTTGCATTTATTCCCCACTTACGGAAAGCTGGTTATGTGCCAGGCCTGGAGCAGCCACGAGTGAATGAGCTGTGGTTCCCCAGGCTTGCAGAGCTCCCTGGGGAACCGGAGAGACGGACAGAAAAGGGAGCAGAGAATCACATTACAGTGGGGCTTCTCCAAATTGCTGGGCACGAAGTCCGCTTCGGGCCTTATTAAAAGGCAGATTTCAGGCCCCCCCAAGAGTCAGGTTGAATAGACCTGGGTGGGGCTCAGGAGTGTGCTTTGAAGAAACCCTCTGTTGGTCCCCAGAACCCCCACCCCTTGAGGAAGCAGGGCCCGTGAGTATGACGATAAATGTTACGATGATAGCGACATGTTTGGGCATGAGCTTCAAGGAGGGCCATCTCCCCCAGCTGGGGCATGGGTGTTAAGTCAGGGCGGCTTCCAGGAGGCCTTCCCCTGGGACATCCTCATTGGAAGTCACCTTGGATAATGTCACGTGTGCATGAGTCACCTGCCCACTGCCCTTTCTGCCCCTCTGCTCCAGTGCAAGGCCTGGCACACAGTGCTCAGCGGGTTTGCTGACCAGCATCCAGGCCTTGGGTGGCACCAGGCCCTTGGGGTCCACCAGCTCCTTGCCCTCTCTAGTTTGTGCAGAATGGCTCATCTCCAAGCATGTATCAGGGACTAGGTTTGGGTCTGGTTTGGGTCTGACCCACGTTTCCAACTGAGTCGGGGATTTAACTCCATCTGCATCCAAGGGAGACTGGATGATTGACATATCTACCCATTAGAGACCCTGTAGCTTCTTAGCTGCAGCCAGGGATGGTGCTGGAAGGAGGAAAGGGACGAAGGCCAAATCAGCCGAAGAGGTTTCTTTTGTTGGCAATGACAGGGCAGCCGGGCAGCCCCCTTTCCTTTCCTGGGCTCCAGTGAAGCCCCTCTCGAAAGGCCTGTTAGTGAAACACCTGGCAGGAACCCAGCCCTGCCGGAGGCTGCGTGGAGGCTGCTTGTTCTCTTTTATTAAGCACATCCAGGTGAGTTTTATTGAGGACAGTTCCCCAGGCTCCTGTTTCCACATTTGTCTCTTTTGAGTCTGAGATTGCCAAAGACTTTCACAGCTAATGGACCTTATAGCTCCCAAGAGCCATTAAGGGAGGCTCAGAACTCAGGGGTGGTAATTAGTCAAACAAAACGCAGGCCTCTGGAGACCCGTTGGAGCTGAACGGCAGGAAGCAAGGGCGCAGGTACGGGAGCTGCAGGCCTGTGGCAGTGTGGGGAGCATCTCCTCACCTCACCTCTCTCTGGTTCTTCCCCTGCATCACCCCTCCCCTCCCCACTTCTAACAGGAGAAGGACCCCTTGGTGCTTGGTGGCAGGGTCTTCAGGAAGGCTGGGGTCCTGGGGTGTCTTAGGGGCTGCAGTAGCTCTGCTGAGTTAACCTTGACAAGTTACTTCCCCCTTTTCTCCAAAAAAATCTCATCTACTTACCCTTGATGGAGGCAGAGGTGTGAGCTCAGGTACTTCTCAGAAGGCAGTATAATGTCCTGTTCAAAACTATGAGCTTTGAAGCTAGGCCAATTGGGTTCAAATCCCAAACCAACTCCTTTTAAAGTTTATAATCCGGGGCAAGTGAAGGAACCTTTCTGTGTCTCCGTTTCTTTGTCTGTAAAAGGGTGATAATAATAATGCTGACCACAGAGGGTTATTGCAAGGATCAACTGGTATACTAGCATATGCACTGCACTTAGAGTGGTAGCTGGCACATATTAAGCACTCAATACTCAGAAGCTATTATGCCAAGAACAGGTCTGTCTTGGGCAGAACAGGGAACCTGAAGTCTTTATCTGGCATTGATGTCCCACTGTGCCAGGTTTGCTTTTCTCTGGTTGGGCAGAGAGAGATAGGCCTCCAGGGAAGCAGCCCTCTTTCTATGGGGGAGGATGGTGGACGAAGACGGGGAAGGCAAGACGTTGAGTTTAGCCTGCTGCCAATGCAAGGAAAGGAGGAGGGAGCTAACATTTGTCAAGCACCTCTTCTGGGTCTCATACCACATGCTTCATTTCTTTATGCCCCCAACACCCTGTGGGTGGGTGAGGACATAGAGTCTCAGAGAGGCTGAGTGACGAATGCCAAGTCTTACAGTGCTTCTAAGAGGGGACCAGGATGGGAGCGTGGGGATGAGAGAGTTCTAACTGACTGATTTTTCTACTTCAGTTTGCTGTGGTGGACAGTCAGAGCCTAGCCCTTGGACTTGGCTTCAGGCCCTCTAAGAAGCTCATGGGAGGTCCCTGATCTCTGCTGGAGCCAAAGGATAGCCCGCCAATGTACTGGGGATCCAGGGCTGGGCTATGGAGGGGGCCTTGATTCTCTGTCTCATTCTTATCCTGAGCAGTGTCCTCTCCCAGGAGGCACAGAATGAACTCTCTCTCCATCTGCAGGTGGATGGTGTTCTGTGCTTGGCCGACATCCTGACGGACAACAGCCATTCAGAGGCCACACGGGCTGAAGCTGCAGCCGTGGTCGCCCAGGTCACCTCCCCACACCTGCCCTTCACTCAGCACCTCAGCAGCTTCCTGGAGAGCATGGAGGAGATCGTGACAGCTCTCGTCAGTGAGTCATCCTGGGTGGGTGGGGACCGCTGAGGAGGGAGCCTTATCACAGTTGGTCTTCAGGGAGGAACAGGAAGATCTCACTGTACCGCACAGATCTCCTGCACAGATGATCCCACTTGCTGAAATCCCACCATGAAAGTGTCAGAGCCAGGCTTTCAAGAGCTCTGCTGTCAAGGCTTCTATTAAAGTGCACACAGCCTTCCCAGAAGCTCCTTGAATTGAGGTCAGCTTGGGATTCATTGGCCTTTCAGATCAAAGTCCAGGACAAGCCCCAAGGAGGAGTGGGACCTCAAAATTTGAGGATCAGATACCTAGCCAGAGAGACTCTGATGGGCTTTGTTGTGAATTTTCAGTCTATTGTACCCAATGGATTTGGCAGCAATTATGGGGGGCAACAGTTTCTTAGCACCAGTTCACCCCAAGTCATGGGTTTTTGAAAGTACTGACTCTTCTAGATTCCCCTATTCAGACATATGTACTCCTGGCAGGAGAATCACAGCCCAATATCTAAGATGTACTCTTCCTCCAGCTTTCCTTTGCAAAACTGCTGAACCTAGTACTCATCTGGATAACAATCATCAGGAAACCTCTTTTGCAAATCACGTCCTTTCTTTTGTAAGTGCTGGTGTCGATCCGTGTTTCTGCTTCTATCCCCATCTCTGTCACTGTCTCTGGATCCACACCTCACTGAAACTGAATGAAAATTTATTTCATCAGAAACTTTAGGGTTAGCACCAGGGCTGGGAATACCTGGAATAGCGCAAGTTAGGGGCAGCATGGAACACTGGGCTCGGAGTCAGAGCACTTGGGTTTGGATTTTTGCCTTTTCATTCATCCATTCCACAAATAGCTATTGACCAGCAGCCCTGTGCAGGGGCTGTGTGAGATTCTGCCACTCACTTGTCATGTCACATTGTTAAACTTTTTTTTTTTTTACAATTTTCCTAATATAGAAGACAAGGAGTTGGGACCTGTTTTTCTCAAGGGTCCTTCCAGCTCTAGAATTTGAAGATCTGCAATTACTTTGCATAGAGGAGGTATCAGTTAAATTGACTTTAGGGCTGATTCTAGTCACTATGGCAGTGGCCAGGCTGGGAGAAATCAACGCACCAGCATCCACATTTATTCAAAGTTGAGAACCACACAGAAGCCAATTGTTGAAATCTTGGCTGCAGGGAACTCAAGAGATCATGAAGTTCAATGTCTACTCTATAGGACAAGACACCTGGGTCCAGAGAGTTTGAGGGACTTTCTCAAGGCCACGCAACAGTGTTAGGGTTCATTTCTGCTGGCAGTCTCACACTCAGCCATTGACTGGAGGCAGGCAGGAAACATACACGAGTTGAAGGGGCCAAATTGAAGAAGAAAGAAGGAGGTTTGAGTCCTGTAGTAAGTTGAAAATCAAGTGCAATGATTAAGGGGGGAAGTCACTGATGAACTCCAGTTGATTGTTGCCATGTAGGAAAGGCTGATTTTTCTTTTCAAGATAAGACAAAAATTCTGCGTTTTATAGAAAATCTCCCAATTTATAAATGATAGCAAATAAAAAAAATCAAAACATGGATAGTCCAAATAACCTTTAACTATTGTCGTATGTCCATTCCTACTTCTCTGCCTGAGCTGGATTTCTCCCTGGAGAAAAGGAGTCTCCCTATGTATTTCACTCTGATGAAGATGCAGTGTGGAGTCTTCTCTGAGAGTCAGCAGATGGGATATATTTTCTGGGCAGGACGCCAGGGCTCTGTTCTTTGGTGGGAAATAGCCCTCCAATTTCTTGCCATACCCTGGAAACATTTATAAATGAGTCACTGAAATCCTCAACTTAATCTTCCTAACACATCCCAGGTGATTCAGACTATAAATGTGCACCAAATAAATGTGTCCCCAAATTAAAAGACACTTGGATGGTTGTGTTAATTGCTGTGTCGGCAGCAATGGTGACTATGTAAGAATGAGGGTGGGTGTTCGGACCTAAAAGAAATCTTGTAGCAAAGTGGGCCAATGAGTCCCGTGGTCTTACCTTAAACTCTGGATGTAGAGAGGTGGCCTGGAAGGGGTAGGCTGTCTGTAGTGGTCCCCCCCAAATCAGAGGATACTGGAAAAGAGGAATCATTGTGTTCTTAATTGCTTGGCTAATTTGTTGTCCTAGCCTTGGAGGGTGGGATCAAGATTCTGAGTTCTTTAGTGGTCACATAAAGTCTTTGGGGAGCAGGGCTGCCCAGAGACAGACATTATCCTCCTGATAGAATTGAAACCTAGATACACAGGAGCATCACTGGGGATGAATCAAAGGGGCTTAGAGAAAAGCGGCTGTCTCAAGTACAGAAAGAATGGGGACTTTGGAGTCAGGCAGACCCGGATTTGATTCTAGGCCCCAACAATTAACAAAAATCCTCAGTTCCACAATTTGGGGAAAATCACAATATTTGAATCCTCAGTTTTTCATCTAAAAAATTGTGATTAAAAAATGGGTTCTCGTTAGGATGGAATGACTTAATGAGGTAAAAAATGTACAGCAGTGCTTTGCACAGAGTAAATGCTAGATAAATGGTAGCTGGAGCTGCTACTAGCTTCTTTGAGTCGCAGCTTGTACATCTGTAAATGAAGGCAACCATTTTCTACTTTAAGGTGCTCAGAATTTAAGGACACAGTTCAAGGCACACTGCAGGTGGTTCAACTAATGTTATTTTCTTTCCCTTTATAGGTAGGGACTGGTAAATGCATTCATTGGAAGGTGCCAAGAAGTGCCATATCAAAAAACTCTGTCTTCAAAACTTTCTTTCTCTCCTGGGGCCATTTTCCTGCAGTTTAGCTTCTCCTCCTGTGTTTCCCAGAGGTGTTATCAGTAGGAGAGGGTCTGGACCCAGGAAGCACCTTGATTGACAGGCAAGTTGGAGCCAAGGGTCAGAAGTCAAATCCATTGGGATGGGTGGGTAGCACCATGGACAGAGTGCTTTCATGCCTCCTCCTGAGGCAAGAGTCCATTCTACGTCAAGTGGAGCCCATGAGGGAATGTGTTAGGTGATGGAGGAGTACAGGGATTCGGGTCTTCCTTCGCTCCTTAAGACCCACCAGACCCATTGTGCAATTATAGATGGTAAGTGCAGAAATCTGTCTAGGTCTGGGTTATGGCCGCTAGGATCAGAGAGAAAGAGCCTGACATTCAAGGTCTTGGTGTTGGACTTTTCTGCAGACAAGTGGCCCTTATCCTGGGACCAAAAGGAAATACTAAAGCTCTGCTGATGGCAGCTGGAGAATTAGAGTCTTTTTTTCCCCAACACTAATAAATTTTATTGTTTATAAAGCTGTTTTCTAAAAGTGGTCGAGTAAAGCTGAGGGTCGTGTCTGCGCAGAGCATGGTGGGGACCCACCCAGGAAGAGGGAGAGTCTTTATGTTTCAACGTCAGCCTCTTTGTCAAGATAAATTTAGCAACAGTCTAGTATACATTATTGGAGACACAAATGGACTAAAAGTTCTTTCCTGCCTTTGAGCCTTCGTATATGCCGTTCTTTTGGCCTAGAACACGCCCTTCTCCACATATTGTCATGATTGCCCCATTTTTCTCTTAAGGTCTCAGCTGTCACCTTCTTAGGGAGACTCTTCCTTATGCACTCCACTGGGCTTCTGTTTATTCTCTGCTTAGCATTTGTTTATTTTCTCTCTCACATTTATCAGAATTTGCAATTATTTATATTAGAGTCTTAAAAGCTCATCTTCTCTTGCCCACTACTGGGATGTAAGCTTAGTAGGGGCAAAGACCTAATCTATTTTGTTCCCCATGCCATCCCAAGATGCCGGGGTGCCTGACACATAGTGTTCACTCCGTAAATACTTGTTGGGTGAAGGAGTGAATAGGAGTCACACATCAGGATTCAAATCCCAGCTCTGCTACTTCTGCAGACAGACACATTTCTCTTTCCTGACTACTTTCCTCATCTGTAAAATGGGTACTATGATACCTGCCCAGATTTTCCCCCAGAGCCATTGTGGGAACCAAACGAGGTGGCTGATATGAAAACACCTTTCAGCGAAGCTATTTTGTTTCCTCTTTACTGTCCAGAACTGTGCCAAGAGGCCTCGTCTGGGGAAGTCTTCCTGTTGGCCTCTGCGGCTCTTGCCAACATCACCTTCTTTGACACAATGGCCTGTGAGATGCTTCTGCAGCTGAATGCCATCCGTGTCCTCCTGGAAGCCTGCAGCGACAAGCAGAGAGTGGACACGCCTTATACTCGGGACCAGGTGAGGCGCTCAGGAGGGGCCAAGCGCAGGACCTCTAATGGTGAAGATAGAGGTCAGGGCCTGGCTGTGCCTGGTTAGTCCTGTTAGCGTCCTTCTGCAGGAAGGTAAAGGGAAACGCTTTCAACATGCCGCTTGCCCTTTAGTGCATCTTCCTGAACTCACTCTCCACCTGCTTTCCCCATCCCAGGCCTTTCTCTATCTCTATTCATACCGTCTATCCCACGAGGCAGAGACATCACAGGAAGGTCTCTGGACCTTCGCTGAAAGCCTGTGCCCCACTCTTGTTGGTACCTGTCTGACACTGTATCCTGCAGTGAGTATCCTCCTTTCTCTGCCTCCGTAAAAACGGGGGGTTGGAGCACAGCCATGATCCTGGGCCTCGGCCTCTCTATCTATCTTAATGTTTCTGTATCTTTGAGCTCTACATAAAGTTTTGTTGGGGAAAAAAGATTTTACTGCTAAACATGTGTGAAAACATTGAGTGAGGGAGTTTTAAAGAGGCTTTGAGTTCTGAGGTTATGGCATTCTGTTCGGCTCCACCTCTGCCATACTCAGCCTCCCATTTTCTCACCAAAGGGTGGGGGTGGTAGATCAGGTGGGTTTTAGGTTTGTAAATTCTACCAGTTGCCTGCACTCTAAGTTATATGACCCCTAACTTCCAACCCAGCTAATCCCTGTCTGCATTTTAGCCTCCAATCCCTGCCTGTTCCGTCCAGCCTCATCACCTAGTAAAGTTGCCATAGCGTCACATTCCCGCTCCTGCCCCAGCCCCTGGAAAGCCTTCCCTGACAGCTCTAGCTCTCTGGGATGGTCTCCTGTTCTTGGAGGCCATACTTCGCAATGCAGTGTTGACTTCTCTTTCTTTTCTTTCTTTTTTTTTTTAAAGATTTTACTGGGGAATTGGGGAAGGGGCACAGCCAAGTTGTTGTCCTTCAATCTTAGCTGTGGAGGGCGCAGCAAGCTCAGCTCCAAGTCCATTCGCTAGCCGGCCGCCCATCAGCAGCTCACTGCCGCTCAGCTCAAGGTGTCGTGTTCAATCTTAGTTGCAGGTGGGCATAGCCCACCATCCCATGCGGGAGTCGAACCAGAAACCTTGTTGCTAAGAGCACACACTCTAATCACTGAGCCATCCTGCCACCTGTTGGCAGCTCAACGGCAGCTCAGCTCGGGCGCAGCTCACTGGCCCATGTGGGAATCGAACTGGTGACCCTGTTGCTCAGAGCTCACGCTCTTAACCACTTGAGCCACTTGGCCAGCCCCCGTGTTGACTTTTCTAATGATATTTATTCCTTCCTATTTATTTTATGTCAGTTTTTTTCTCTTTGAGGGCAAGGTCCTCGTTTATACTTCCCCAGGATTTCTTAAGGGTTCTAGCCCAGAGATGACTTCCATGGTGAAGTTCTCTAAATGCCTGTTTAGGGCATAAAAGGGAAGAAGCAGGATGGGACTTCATCAGTTCTTTCCTAACCTTAGAATCGCTCGCCATAGAAACTCCCATTCAGAGAGAATTTTCTAGTTCATAAGTATGTGTAGATGAGGGCTCTAATAATACTGTGAGGATGGTAATATTTGTTCCATTTAAGAGATAAGAGTATTGAGGCTCAAGAGGATGTCCCCCAAACCATAAGGTTGGCAAGTAGCTATCCAGAATTTAAATCCTGGGCTGACTTTGACTTTGGTCTTTGACTCTCCTCTGCTGCCATCTTTGAAAATGAAGTGAAGATACAGTAGCTGTGGGGTCAGAGAGACTGAGCGTTGATCCTGCCCAGACTATTTATTCACTGAGTGATTTTGGGCAAGTCACAGCCTCTTTGTTGTTGGTGTTCTCATCTAGTAACTGGGACATGAATGTCTACCTCGCAGGATGAGTGAGAATGAGTGAGAATGAGTGGGGTAACATATGTAAAGGACCCGATACAATCCTTAGTCCCTATTAAGTCTTTAATAAATGATGAATCTTATTTTTGAAACTTGATGCTCTAAGGAAGAGCAAGAATAGTGAATTATACAAAGTCCTCAGCTTGGCCTCCCAAGCCATGCATAATGTTGTTCCTGACTTCCTTTGTAGCCTAATCTCTCATTTCTAAGACTTGGACAAGCGCCCCCATAGAGACAAGGTATGACAGTACAGATGGATAAAGAGTGATGGCCCAGCCATGGCCCACTTGGTGTCTGAGGGGAACACCAATGTCGATCGCAGCCACAGCCCTTGGCTATGAGGCATGGGATTAGAGGGTCCACCTTGCTTCTGCCCTCTCTTCTTTAGACACTTCGGTTGCTGGCTCTCTCATCTATCTGGTGTGATTTTAGGTCTCTTCCCCTTCAGGTTCCTCTCCTGTGACCAATTCTGGCCATTTCACAGAAGATCCAGTAGTGAAACAGTAAGAACAGGACTTTTGGGGTCAGATGACCTTGGGTTCAAAGCTTCTCTTCTATTAATAATCCTGTAACTTTGGACAATTCACTCCAAGCCTCACTTTTTCTCATCTGTGAATGGAGTTGAGTAATAAATACTTCACAAAGTTGAAAGTAAGAATTAAATAAATGAATGAATATAATTTCTTGGTACAGTTCCTGGCACAAAGAAACTATTAAATAAATGGAAGCCCCTGTCGATGTTATTATTACTTCTGGCCTTTGAATGTGTGGCACACAGACCTGAGTGGGGAACCTCTGAAGTGGGATGTCCTTATCTGTTAAATGGGCGTATGGTGTCTTCCAGCTCAGGCATCCTCTGTGCTCTACACACAGAGATACTTTTGTCATCATGAGGAGTGACTGGGCCCTTTTGAAACCCCATTGTGTCCTAGGAAGGAAGGGGCTTGAGGTGGGAAAGAAATGTGGTCAAGTTCTATGCAGATGGCAACTCTTTTTGAATCTGGAATCAGGAGTTTTCCTGCCTCACCCCCCAACCACCCCTTCCCCCCAACCCCATCTGTCCCATCCCTCTTCTTCCCTCTCCCCCCTACCCTTCAAGCCTGAGCCAGGCACCTCTCCTACCGTCCTCAGGATGGCTTCACCTTCTGCCCTGACTCAGAGCAACCACTTAGCTAGTGAGAGTGCACCCATTAAAGAAACAAATGGCTCTTTCCTGTGGCAGAGGGAGAATTAAGGTGATCAGAGAGCTCTCTGTAATGAAGACAAAGAAGATGAATTAGACTCTGAAGTGCTCACCACCCCCTGAAACACTTAGGAGATTAAATGCCCGTAAAGCTTCCAGTAATGCATCTGCCAATGACGCCAGTGCTGTGTGGAGCCTCTTGGTCTTGGAGCTATACTTGGTCCATCTCTGTTTGGACATCTCAGTGAGAACCTCTCCATCTTCTCAGCAAGCTGAGTCCACTTAATTTTTCCAGCGGCGGCCTCGATGGCCATGCCTATCCTGTACTCAATCCTGGGGTATGAACGGGAGTGAGGGCAGCATTGGGCCCCGGCTCTTTCTTGCCCCTCTGCTAATCTGGGGAGCTGATGTGATCACACACTCAGAACTCCCTGCTGCTGACCTGACTGTGTGGCCTGCATTTTCATCCCCCAGAGGTATTTTTTAGGGGTCGTGCTACCCAGGGGATCCAGCTACAGGTGTGACGTGGGCAGTGGGAAAGGGACTGCCTCGTGCCGGCTCACCTCTGCCCTGCCCATCAAGCAGTGACCACCTAGGGTGAAAGGGACCCTGCTATCTTGTCTAACCTACAACCTAGACTTTTACTGAGCACGACATTTTTGTGGCCTTCAGAAATGTATTGCTTTCATAGAGGTAGAAGGTGCTGGTATACACTTCCCATGATAACACATCATTGGCTTGGCATTTTAGAAAGTCCAGGTTTTGTAGCATTTCTGAGACTTCACTGTGAATACCATTTTAGGAGTCCTTTTATCAGAAATGTCAGTTACTAGGGGTTATAATTTTGACTCACATTGCAAAAGTCCTCTATAATTTATAAAATCCTATCATATACATATGACCTATATGACATAGTGGAAACAGCACAGGCTTTGGGTTTGGGCAGACATGAGTTCAAATCCCAGATCTGCCATTTTCTGGCTGTGTGACTTTAGACAAATCACTTAACCACTCTAAGTCACAATTTTCTCATCTGTGTACTGGGGATAATAGTATTTTTCCCCTCCTTGTGTCATTATGATGCTCATAAAGTAGTTAGAACCAAAGTGGATACTCAAACATAAACAGGGCAAGGGTCTCAGATAGAACCAGGGATTGGGATGGGTCTGAGACAGGAAATGTCAGCTTTGGGACAGGCCAGGAAATGTAGTTAATGTGGCGGTGAGTGTAGCGTGGTTTGAGTTAACATGTGGTGTGTATTGTTTCATTTGTGTGTGGGTATATGCAAGTTGTTTGTGTATGTGTGTGTGTGTGTGTATGTGTGTGTTTGGGGGGCTGGGGTGACATAGATTATCAGCTACTTAAAGTAGTAGACCATTTATTTGCATATTAATCCATATGCATATATATGTTTCCGGAGAGGCTCGAGGAAGCCAGCATTATAACACCCAGTCCTTGTTTGGTCCAGAAATCCCTCCCTACAAAGCCAAGGGAGACCAAACACAGAGAACATGGTCTGGCATGTTTATGCTATCTAAACTGTGAGGCTCACAGCCTCGCTGCAACTCCCGGGGACAGGCCTCTGGCCTAGGTTTCCAACAGCATGGGATCTATATCCAAGAAAGTTTTGTGGCCTTTGTGGCTCTCACTCCTAAGCCCAAATCTCTGCCCTCCAGTCTTGCCCCTTTGGTAGCGAGGAGGGAAAGTGGGGCCCATTGGTGAGAAGACCTGAGTACCAGAAAGGAGAAGTGATGGGTTTGTCTCAGGGCCTAAGCAGGTGCCCTCCTGGTCTCCACTCCTGCCCAGCTGTCTCAGCGCCTGGGGCCCCCTCACCATGTCTAATGGAGGGAGAGAGAGGCTCACCGAGAGAGAGAGAGACTCGCTGAGAGAGAGGAAGGGAAGCAGAGGGTGTTCTCCTAGACCCTCTTGCCTGACTGGTCATGGGGAGAAAGTATGTTCAGAGAGAGCACACCCTTCCTTCACACCAATGTCCTTGTCTTCATTCTTTCTGCTCATTGGTGGAGAAAGGGATGTGGCGGGGAAGATGGAAGGACAGGGAGAAGCATTGGGCTTCCCCTGGAGACTAAAAGGGATTTTGCTGGCTGGTTTCAGGGCTGCAGTTGACAGGGTTGCTACAGTTTTAAAAGTATTAACACAGTGATAATAGGAATCTAAATATTCCATCTAGCAATTAAAAAGTAATTCTAATTACAGTCATATGAACTGTTGGACTTTTTGTCCTAATTACTGTATGGCATAAAAGTAATTAATCATAACTTGTCACTAATAGGTGTTGGATTTTCTGCGTTGTAAGTTCTATTAGATCCGAGCACGTGGCTCTATTTGGGTTTCCCGGGTAATTCTCATTCATGTTGTTCTGCAGTGTGGTCTTCAGTGTTGGTTTACACATAGCACGTGAAAGGGACAGAGGTAGAGTCAGCGTGTGATCACAAGCAGACATTGTTAAGGATGTGAGACAAGCCTGGTTCATGTCTTAGGATCCGTTGTGGACAAGTGTTCCCAGAGTCCTTGCCCTGGGCCAGCACGGGGCCAACCCTTTCCTCTGCATATGTGCTGATATCAAAAAGCTTTGCCAACCTCCTTCTTACCACACAGGGCCATTTCTTCTTGAACCAGTGACACGGGAGGTCCCCTGCTATTCTGGTACAATTTGCTATTCGCCTCAATGTTCTTAAGGCTGCCAGTCTTTGGGATGCCAAAGGGAAAATGGTTTCAAAATACCACAGAAGGTAATGAGCACAGCGTTGGTCGGGTTCTCTGCTGAGAAGGGTTTCTCCTGCTCTGGGAGTTTGCCTTCCTTTGGGAATGATCTCACGTTGACAGCACATGTGGGAACGCTGGGTGCTGTATTGGTTAGTCCTCCTTGACACAGTCTTTCAAGGTCTGGGTATTTTCAGGCTCTGTTTCCTTCAGGCAAGTTATACTCATTTTATCTACAAATGTCCTGGGTGCTTGACAAAACATGAACTTGTTTAATGCTTGTAACAGACTTAGGAATTATCTCCTATTGATCTTCTGTGGTAGCCCAAATAACGCACCCACCCCCAAAGATAGCCACATCCTAATCCCACAAACCTTTGAATATGCTACCTTACCTGGCCAAAGGGATTTTGTGGATATGATTAAGTTAAGGATCTTGATATAGAAAGATTATCCGGGATTGTCCACGTGGGTCCAGTGTAACCACAAGTGTTCTTATAAGGAGTCAGGAGGGTCAGTGTCAGAGACTGAGATGTGACCGAGAAAGCTGAGATCAGAGTGATGTGGTGCCAAGAACCAAGTAATGCAAGCAGCCTCTAGAAACTGGAAGATAAAGGGATGTGTGGATTTTCCCTAGAGCCTCCAGGAAGAATGTAGCTCTGTCAACCCCTGGAGGTGTGCTCCAAAAGGCCCACTTTGGACTTCTGACCTCCAGAATTGCAAGATAAAATTGTGTTGTTTTAAGCCACTAAGGTTTTGGTAATTTGTTATAGTAGCAATAGAAATCTAATACACCTGCATGAACCAAGGCACAGAAAGGTTAAGTAACACGGCCGAGAGCATATGGAAAATAAAGGATTGAGCCAAGACTTGAAACTAGGCTGATCCATGCGCTTAGACCCTACAACACACTGCCTGTCACCTGGGGCCTCTCTCAAAGCTGATATTCTCTCTATTCACCAAATAACTGCAGAGGGAGCAGTGCCTTTTCACTGAGGAGGAATGAGACTTAATTGAAAATCATCAGACAGGACCGAATTAGCCTGGGCTGGAGGAGAACTCTCTGCCTAGCCTCTTTACACAGTCCCCTGATAGCATTGCTATCTTATATCCAATGAGGTAAACCAGTTGTCCCGAAAATCCTAGCCCTGGACGTGAGTGCAAGAAGAAACTCTTTCTCTCTACATCATGGTGCATACAAGGATGTTTCAAAAGGGGGACTGGAAGCAGGGCATAATTGGCATTTATTCAAATCGTGCTTAATTGAATGCTTCACCTGCAACTCAGAAAACCGCATGGGGTACAGTCTCTGTAAAGAGGAAGTAATTTTCATTAACAGGATCTAAATTAGTTTGACACAAAGACCTACCTGGGCTTGTGACACAGCTAATAATTGCTGTGTAATGAACCTGATGCTTTAGACAAAGCTTTCTTTTTCCTTTTTCCTTTTGTCGTTCCTTCCTCCCTCCCTCCCTTCCTCTCTTCTTTCCCCTTTGGATCTGCATATCAAACAAGGATCTTTTCAGAAAGGCCAGACTGGTGATGGTTGGGTGGTAGCAGTCACTGTGTGATGGGAGCAGAGGCCATGCTCCCCGCTACTGCTACCAGCCCAGAGGAAGCCAAACGAACTGTAATCTGAGATGGACTTGGCCTTGTGTCTTTTTTCTCATAAGACTTTGCCCTCTATGCCTCTTGGGGACCCTTCTATTTTTTAATTGCATCATCAACCAATATTTTTCCTCAAACTCTGTCTACTCAGCCCTCAAACACTCACCATCTTAAAGGGGGTGGGGAAGGATTCCAAGGACTAACCCTCATTTAGTTCCATTGTCTCTCTAAAATAAAAATAGGAGCTTGTCCTTCCCTTCATAAAACATCTGGTGAAGCAGACTTGCCTTCGGGATAAAGCTTTTTGGGTATTGTCCTGTCCCTCCACTGGCAGTCCACCCATCATGCCTACCCAGCCAAGTCCCTGCCCAGGTCTGAGCTGGAGGGGGATGCCACTCACAGATGTCACAGAGCCTAAGATGCAGAGTCCTTTTCAACATGTGTGTAGTGGGGAACAGGGGAGATAGAGATTTTTATTAATATGGCAAACTTTCTGCTTAAAAGATTTCTTACATGGATTTATCATTCAGAGGGATGCACCAATATTGAACCAATTACAATCTAGCTAATACTCTTTCTTAGTAAGCATCACATTACTATCCAGTAATTATCTAGTTTCAGAATTTAAGCTGCCTGAACTGTCCTCAGGAGGCTGTCAGCTGCCATCTCAGAGGTGGAGGTATGGCCTCCAGTTAATTGTGCCACAAGCCTTGAAGAAACCTTGAAGAGAGATAGGTCTGCACCAATGAGAAGTGTTTTTTATTTTATTTTACTAATTTATATTAATTACCATGTGAGAGTGCTGTCTGCTTCTATGGAAGTGGGTGGGTTTTCGTTTTGCTGGCTAGGTCGGGAGTACCGTCATGGGTAGTATCTGAGCTAACAGGTGCCCAGTTTCCAACATTTTCCAGTGGTGTTTTGGCAGCCTGTACAGTTTGGGGTCTGCGGTAGGTCCCTTGATGGCCCATTCCTTAACCCAGTTTTGTGCTCTGAGTCCTCTCTGCAACCTTGAGTAGGTCAAGGGGTGAGGATGGGGTGGGCTGTTGGCTGCCCTGCCCATGAGGTTGTAACCAAGGCTCACTGTTCACCTCGTGTCAGCATCCCTTTACTGCAGGCAGAGCCCTTCCATGATGACCAACAAGCAAGGCTTGGAGGCCATAGTCTTGTAAAGTGTAGCTGGGCGTGAACTTTCTCATCAGATTCCACAAAATACCTGATGCTTGGGGTATAATGCTGCCCTTCTATCTTACTCATGTTCTCTAACTTGACCTTAGTCTCCGTTAATTTCAGGTTCAAAGTAGGTGGGATTTGGTATCAAGGCAAAAAGCCAGGATGGAGGGAACCTAACCCAGGGCAGGGGCTAGCCAGGAATTTTCCCGTCTGTCTGCATTTCAGGGCCGGGGGCCAGAGGGACCCTTCTGAAAAATGACAGGGCCCCCATCTTCACTCATGTGACACTGTTCTTTCCAGTGGAATCCTGGGGTCCATTCCAGGGCTATGTGTTGATGAATAGGCATCAAGTCACTGGGGAAACACATCTGGGTGGCAGGAGCCCATGAGGATGAAAGAAAAAATACTATGGAAGGATAGGCCAAGTGGACAGTAAGGAGTCACAGGCTAAAAGGAAGCTTTGTAGCCCCTGGCTCAGCTGTCTGTAGAGATCACCTTTTGGCTCAGGGGTGCCCACTTTCTTAGCTTCTCAATTCTCTTTTCCAGATTGTGACCATCTTGGCCAACATGTCTGTCCTAGAGCAGTGTGCCTCTGACATCATTCAGGAGAATGGTATGTATTTCCAGCAGTGTGCATGCGGTATGGGTTATGTGGCTGCACAGTACCCTGTGCCTTTGTGTTTGTGTGAAGGCCTGTGTGGAGATACGTACACTTGTGGGTCTCCACAATTGCACAACTGGGCCAATATGTAAATGTTTGCTTGCCTTCATGGGGCTTTAATTCTACTGGGAGACAGACAGTGAACAAGAAGATAGGAAAGGTCAGATGGTGATAATGTGTGCAGAAAATAAAGCAGGGAGGAGGGTAAGGTAGACCCAAGGTAGGCGGGGGTGGGCCGGGCACAGCTTCTGCCCTGTACTTACTTGCTAAAGTAACAGTGTAACTTGTGATCGTCCAGAGGTGTGTAGTAGGCTAGGGGTGTGTGTGGGGGGGTGGCAGTAGCTGTTTTTACTAAGGTGGTGAAGGGAAGACAGGGATTTCATTATGATCCAAAAAGCAAAAATCTGTTCCTACAATAGATGCATTCCAACTTTAAGTCATTTCTGTCCTATTGGGTTTGGCCTCAGTAGAAAGTGCCTGAGGAGTGAGGGATCAGGTCAGGGCAAACTGCGCCCCTCGACCCCTCACCTGAGAGCATCTCTTTCCCACTTGCTCACCTGCTCCTACCTTGTGAACCAAGGTCCAGGTTTCGTTCACCTGAAGCTGATCTAAGCAGTTCCGGCTGGAGGACAGGCCAGTCAGTCACCTTGCAGTGGGAACAGAGTGGCGAGGGCTTCCTGTGACTGGAAAATAAGGGAGCAATTAGCAACCGGTTGGAAACCAGAGATGCTAATGAGGATGAGTGAGCCAGGAGCCCAGGCCAGCTGCCTCTGCTCTTGTTAAACCCTCTTCTGCCAGGCTGCCCTGCTGTTTTAACAAACATTCACATTTCCCATCCCCCATTGCTCTATTACTAATTGAGAGACATCATTTTGTGTTCATTCCATGTGATTGAGCTAATAATGAAAAACTTTCCTGAGCCAGCTGAGGCTGGGAGTCTGGGGGGGAGGGAGGGGAGTGTCATTTGTGGTCCGTTACTTCAACACTTGGAGCCTTAAGTTCAAGTGATCAGCGGAAGTGGGTCTCCAGAGGCCTATGGATTTGGGACTGGAATATCTGGCATCTGTAGAGGGTTTTGTGGTTTGCAAGGTGTTATTGAAAAACTCATTCAGCCAACAGTTGTTGAGACCAACTATGTGCCTAACATTGTGCTAAACAAGTGAACACAGAGGTAAATAAATCCTTGCCTTTGTCCTAGTGGGTCTCAGGAGAGCCCAACTTGACAAAAGTGATAACGTGACAAAAGTGTGACATCTATAATAAAATAATGCAGGAGGGAGAGAATAGCACAGAGGTTGAGACCATGAAAACTGAAAACAGACTCTGGGCTTGAGTCCTGGCTCTGCTATTTACTAGCTACATGACCTCTGTTTTTGCATCTGCAAAATGGGAACAGTAGTAATACCAACTCTTAGAGATGATGTGAGGATTCATAGAGTGTTAGAAGAGTGTCTAGCACAGAATGAGCATTGTGCTAAGTGTATCTGCTCTTTCAGGTAACAGTGACAGCCTCACATCACTCAACTGAAGAGAGTTTGATAAACTATTTACCGAAGTGGGGCAGGATTTGAGGGGTTAGCAATGGTGGTGACAAAACCAGGGGCTACAGGGAGGCAGCTGGCCTCCTGGGCTGGACAGGGCAAGTCGGGGCTTTGGAAGGCTATCCTCTTACCAGGAAGCATGAGACTGATCTGCCTTGCCCTGCAGCCTTTTTTGTCTCTGTCCTGCCTTGAATCGAGTGTGCATGTTAGTGATGGGTTCTGGTTGAAGGGGGCCATACTGGGAGGTCAGAGGCTCTGGCCATTGGTCATCCTCATGCTGGGAGGCAGGACAGGGCAGCCCAAGCTCTTACTTGGAATTCCATTGGCATCAATATCCCCCTTTCAGCTAGTTTTGCTTCTCCCTGAAGGGCTGGGGCTGAGTTAGAGAGAATGTTGGGGTGGGAACATGATGTTGGGGGCTGGTCTCCAAAGCTGTAACCCCCTAAAACTCTCAGGCAACTTTTCTGGCATTGAGCCTGGCCAGAAATTCGGAAACACTTTCTGGATTTTTCTAGGCAGCCCCAATTTCATAGCATCACATCTTAAAAAATACATATGTAAAGAAAATTTTGTCTTTATACATCTGTAAGACCTCACATGAATACATTCACATTCATTCATTTGATAGTCTTTCAACAAATATTTGAGCTAATTGCTATTCTGGATACTTTAGACATATGCATGCAGGAAATGGACAAAAATTCTTGCCCTGTGGAACTTACCTGCTGGTATATAAGAAATTATTCTGTTTCAGATTCCAGGTACAAAGCTGAGGTTGGGAAAATGGCTTCTCTATGAGAACATTAACCAGGATGAGTTAACAAAATATCTTAAGCTTGTGGCACTTTCTAAAGTTGTCATTTTGGTTCCGCCTGTTCACGTCCCCACAGGCCATAACATGTATTATCACGGAACATTAACAGCCATGACATTGTCTTAGGGACATTGTGGACATAGGGAGCCTGAAGACCATGTTCCATTCAGTGGCAGGGAGAAGATGTAGGTGAGAAGCACCTTGCCCCAAGGTTAAAGTATGTGATGGCAGAGTTAATAGGGACTAAGAAAGGCAGGGTCTGCAGAGTCCTTTGAGCTTGAGAGGGGAGAAATGGGGCACTTACAGAGCTCACCAGAGAGAGAAATGGCTTCTCCCCAGGGCTGAATAGCTTTATGGCCGTAACTAAGTAACTCACAGCCCCTGCGCATGAGAATCCAGAAGAATCAGAAATTGCATCTGGTTCAAGGAAGATTCAGTCATTTGTCTGGGGAGCTGTACAGGAGCTGACTCCTGCGTGAATTTGGGGAATCACCTCCTCTCTCCAGACCTCAGATGCTCACCTGAGAAATGAGGGAGGGAGGGAGGGGCTGGATAGAACTCCAAGGGCCCTTCCTGCTCCATGGTCTAAGTTAGAGGCTGCAAGCTGAGATGCTGAAGGACCTAGATAAGCAATTGAAATGGACCATGTGGTCTCAACAAGGACTGGATCCATCTCATTTAAAAGAGTAAGCTTATAATAAGCTTTAGTAAATTGTTGTTGTGCATAAGTGTGGGCCCAGTGTTGTCAGAGCTGGTTGGTCATTTTTTAGAAGCTGGAAATCTGGATTTTTATAGAAATCTCCCAATTTTCATGTTAGGGAAAAAAATTAATACAATTTTTTAGACACTGTATGGAGCAACAAAACAAAGCAAAATATATCTGTGGGCCATGTCTGGTTTAAGTCCCAAACTGGCAAGTGCCACTGGGTATGGGAAAAGGGGCCTGAGGCCGGGGCGGCTAGGGAATACTTCCCGTAGAAGATGGACTTTTACTCCCTGCAGGATAGGAACTACTAAGATGGAGAGTGAGAGGGAAAATGACATCTCCTGCAGAAAGAATTAGGTGGGCAAAGGCATGAGATGGCGGTGAAAGTGGGTGTGGATTTGCCAGACACTCAGAAGACAGGTGGGGTCTCAGGGGAGAGTGGAGAGGCTTCTCAACCGACCGAATTCAGGCCTACATATCTCAACTCTTCCAGGCTCCTCTAGTGTTTTCACCCACTCTAAAACAGTTGATCTATTGCTCATCCAGCCTAGGTTTGGGTCACCTCCCACCGGGGGGACCCATCACTTCTGGGCCTGACTCAGAGGCAGCTGGCATCAGAGGTAAAGAGGTGATCGAGGGAAACCGGGTTATCTGGGTTCTGATACTCACTCCCCAACTCCTAGCTGCATGACCCTGGAAAAGGTACTTCACTTCTCTCTGGGCCCCAAAGTGAATTATAGTAGTACCTAGTTCATGAGGTGACTGGGTTAGGGAATCAGGCATTTACTGTGCATTTAGCACAGTGCCAGGCACATAGCAAAAGCTCAGTAATAGCATTAAGAAAATAACAAGGGATGTCCTCCAGATGTCCCTTCCAAGTATAGTGACTTGGTACGTGGAATCAGAGACACCCCCAGGGTGGGAGGAGTAGGAAAGGTGGCCTTGTCTAGTTTCTTCCTGTGGTTGAGATCCCCCTAAGTCATTCTGACTTTTATTTGAGCCTACAGCCATCCATCCAACTGACCCCAAGGGAAAGGTTCCCCACTGGGGCAGCTACCAACTGTCCATCTTTTTCCACGCAGGGGTCCAGCTTATCATGGGCATGCTGTCTGAGAAGCCAAGGTCTGGGACCCCTGCTGAGGTGGCAGCCTGTGAGCGAGTCCAGCAGAAGGCGGCAGTGACCTTGGCCCGTCTCAGCCGAGACCCAGATGTAGCACGGGAGGCCGTGCGGCTGAGCTGTAAGTGGTGCTGGCTGTGGGGAGTGGAGTGGGGGGCTTAGAGTTGGGAACGGCCCAGATGTCGTGGAGGTGACAGAGGACTTAAAGCAAGGGCTAAGTGGGGGAAGCCCCACGCTCTGGGTGCTGGGAAATGCTAGGATGGAGGCCCAGGGTGCAGCCCCTAGTCTAGTTTATAACCTGGAGCTGAAGCAAGAGAGTGGAAGGGCCTAGAGGAGTTTAAGTTGGCTCGAATGGTGACCACCTGCAGACTTCCTGTTAATTATAACCCCATTCTTTCATTCACTCATTCATTTCCTCATTCATTCATTCATTCATTCTGTTCTTTGCTTACTCATTCATTTACTCATTTGTTCATTTACTCATTAATTCATCCTTTTGCTTATTTATTCATTAATGTGTTCATTATTTCATTTATTCACCATTAACTCATTTATTAATTCACTCATGAAATGACTCATTCATTTAGCTAGTCACTTATTTACCCAACAAATGTTTTCAGCTCACCCACTATATGCTAGTCTCAGTTCTGAGTGCTAAGCACATAACACCAACTAAAACACTGTCCTGGCCACAGGGCCTTCAACCCTAATGAGGTAGCAGATATGGAAAGAAACATTTGCACTTGAATATCATAGAGCGATGCTCAAAGGATGTCCATATCAAATTTAGTGCACAGGTGAAGTAGCCTACATTTATCTGGGTGGTTCAAAGAATATTTTAGCAAGGAGGTGAGTGTTCAGCTGTGGCTTGAGGAGTTACCGTATTCTGGTGTGAAGGCCGAGAAAGGGCGTTTCAGGTAGAGGCACGAGAATAGGCTTGGCAGTGTCACCTATCATCCAGGTACAAGGACAGCAAGAGGTGACCTGGGGGCAGCAGAGGGTTCCAGCTTCATAAAAACTTTATTGGGGATAAACATACAAAAGGTGTCTGCACACCTTTTATTACTATCTTATTATGAGTTGTGTGGGGTTTTTTTTTTTTTGAGTTTGAAAAAGTCAATTTACATTCAAAAGCAAAGTCATTTATTTAAATTTCCTCTGTAAAGGCCTAGGAAACATTAACCTATGCAATCTGTAGTTTCCTGTAGTTTTAGCTGGAATATATTTTCTGATTGATAGGCAATTGGAAAAAAAGAAGAGGTCCTGGGATGTTCCACAGATAAGGATGTAAATATTAAACGTAGCTCTGGTACAATCAGAAGTCCCTGCACAGAAGTATCTCTCTCTCAGACAGACCTGCACTACCTTCTGAAGTTTTAACTGAATTCAGCCCTGGACAGTATTCTGGCTCTTAGGGGTTGATTTAGATGCTGCAGCTCATCCTGGCCCTGACCAGGGTCTGTTCACACCTGAGGGAGCAGAAAGTTCTCACCACAAACTCCTCCAGCAGGGGTCAGCCTATTGGCGGACTGACAGAGACCCTGGGAGTCACCTGCTTCCATAGGTCTCCATGCAGAGAGCTGTGTGAGAGAGAGGGGACACCCCTGGCTTAGGCCTGGCCTGGATGGTCCCCATGCAGGGCTTGAGGTTCCCCGTGTGTCTCACACAGGCATGTCCCGTCTCATTGAGCTCTGCCGATCGCCCTCCGAGAGGAACAGCAGTGACGCGGTGCTCGTGGCCTGCCTGGTGAGTTCCCAGTCTCCCCCAGATTTCTCCCTGGGCTTTGGGGGTTGCAGACCAGGAGTCAGGAGAGCTGGCTATGCCAAGGTTGGCTTGGGTAAGCCATGCCATTTCTCTGGGTTTCAGCTTTTCTAGGTAAAATGGTGATAAGAGTAATATTTGTTTCACTTAATTCATAAAATTGTGAAGGAAATACACGAGATCATGTATGTGAGAGATGGGGGACTGGGGAATCCCCATCACCACACTTAGTAACCATGAACCTTTGAGATGCTAGGAAATCTTAACAGCGACCAAGACCAGAATGGTTGGCCCGCGGCATGCTGGGTGGTGTTAGTGAGGGCAAGGTGCTGGCAGCATGTGGGAGCGAGGGTGTGGATGTCTCTTGCCGGTTCCAAACTGCACATAGTGAGAAAAGTCTCTGTTCGTCCTTGGACAGAGGCCCTCTGCTGGTGTACTTTCAGCTTTGCAGTTCCTTTCTTTTTTTGTGGAATAAGACTGGAGGCAAAAGGACAGGACACAGAGTTTTATTCAGCCAGCTACCAGGATCTTCACCCTGATTCAAGCAAGTGAATTCTGGGAGGTCCCTGTCTTCTCCTTGATGCCTGTGTCACTCATTAATTTATCTAGCAGCACCGGATGGGGAATGCATGCTTTGTCTCTGTACTCCTTCCTGCCGGGGCTGTAACGAATCCCAAAGCAGAGCAGTGTCCAGCTGGAAGCCATTGTATAAACAGGCCATTTCATTGCTAGAAGGGAGTGCCAGATCCTTGACTGGTCCTCAGAGGGTGCAAGGGAGAAGCGATGGATCTGGAGGGTCCTCCCAGCTGTTTCACAGTAAAGCCCCCTGTCTTTTTTAAACTGAGCTCATCTCATTTCTGGGAGCTTCTGATGGGCATCGTATGGTGATAGAAACAGCAGGGCATTCAAGTCAGACACACCTGTCTTGGTTTTGCCATTCATGAGCTGTGTGACATTAGGTAGGTTTCCAAGTGTTATCGATTTTATTTAATAAATATTTACTGAGTGATTCTGTGTACCATGCACTCTTCCAGGCTATGGGGATATTGCTGGGGGTGGGGGAGAGACAAAAAGCTCTGCTCTCGTGGGGCTTTTATTCTGGTATGTGCAGAACAACCTTAACCTTTCTGGGGCCTCTGGTGATCTGGTGAAGCTTATGAACCCCTTCTCAAAATAATGTTTTGTTTTTTGTTTGATTTGTTTTTGAGTTATCACTTGCATTTTTTTTTAAATTTTATTGGGGAACAGTGTGTTTTTCCTGGATGCATCAGCTCCAAGTCAGGTAGTTGTTTCAATTTAGTTGAGGAGGGTGCAGCTCACTGGCCCATGTGGGAATCGAACTGGCAACCCTGGTGTTATGAGCAGTGCACTCTAACCACCTGAGCCAACCGGC